ATATATATATATATATATATATATATATATATATATATATCCTGGTCATTTATGTCAGTAATGAATGTAGCACGAATACTATCAGAAGGTTTGGGTATTGTGGAAGCAACTGAGAAGGCACAGGGAGCATTTTTTGTCGCTCAACAGCCTCAACGAACAGCCTTTGGGGGCAAGTCACCGGAATCAAACGCGTAACCTCTAACTGGCCTTTGGTCCATTTAGCAAATTGGGCTAGGTATGTGTGACTGAGTACACAAGATGCTTCTCTGCAATAGTGTCAAGTTTTAGCGCCCTCTGGGTGTCATGATCAGCTTGAATTGTATGACTTCTTTTCGGGAACGGGAACTTGACTATTTAAATCAAAGCCGTGTTTTCGGTACGATGCCTTGTTTCTTTCTTTGGGATGTTGGATGGTTTTTTGTTTACAGTTGTTATCGACTGGTGGTGACCAGCTGAAACTAATGCATTTCGTGTGACGTGTAAATGCAGTAATACACTCAACAGTTGCTCGTCACAGAGTCTCGTATATTATGTGGAACAAATCTCACCGCGAAGGCCCATACTCCGTATTCGTACACCGCCCTACAATACTTCATGTTCTGTAATTTCGAAATTAATGACGCCTTTTACGAGCGGACCAAAAGACGTAGCCAACACAAGAGGTATATTCGAGTATTTTTGCCACCAAACTTTGTCGTCATTGGATCCTTGTAATCAGCTTAATATATTACTTCGGACAGGTCTGTCTCTGCTAACAGGGATCCAATAATAATGAAATTTGGGGGAAAATACTCGAATACACTCTTGAACAAACGTGCTCAGTGGGCTTCAGGTTAGACGCTGCTCAGCTGAAGAGACATCTAATTATGTGGCATCTCAACACCACGGATCTACAGCAAAGCAAAAACATGTTGATCCATTTTCACAGTTGCCAAAACACGGCATCGCGTGCACATGCTGACCTTATTCACCTGCAACAATTGCGAGATGGAACCGGATGTATCCGTTCTCATTTCATACATTGGTATCTGTCACTATGCTTGATCCTCTTTTCCTTTTCGCTCCTGTTGTAGCTGTGGAAACCTACGGAAAAACAGGGAGCCCCGCCTGTACGTGTGCTCAACCACCATTTCCCTCCAATGAATAAGAAACGTCGGCGTTTCATTCGAGAGCTGGCTGAATTCTACGGCATGGAGTGTTACACATTCGATCCGGAACCTAGCCGTCACGTGATGGTTTTGGCGAAACGCGGCGAAGCCCGATTGCCCGGACGGACCAGCGACCATCGAGCCTGTCTGACCAACTCGCTGCAACGTGATTTCAAGGGAACTGTTCATGTCCGTGAGGGTATTCGTGTGCCCAAAAAGCCTGAAAAGAAGACAGGGCTTCCCCCACCATCGACTATGGGCATGTCTTACGCTCAAGTACTTAGAAGAAATTGCTCTCAGTGAAAGTCAGGATACTACCGGGATCTTTCTTCCATATTTTGTGGTGACTTGTTTTCCCGGTTTTTTATGGTGAGGATTATGAGTTCCCTCTGGAACTTGCTATCAACCGAATGTAAACAGATTTTCCTCGAGACGTGAGTAGAATATCAGAGGGCATTTACCGTTTCCGTTCACTACACTTTTATTACCACTCCGGGCAGAGAGGAAGTAGATTTGTCCATTTTGGTGTGTCATTATTTATTTTTGCTCGTTAAGCAGCATTTTTGGAATATTGATTAAAAAATTCCTATTCTGAAAGAAATGAAGCTGTATATTCGATATTCAGAGCACGAGCCACTCTCAGGAATAGACACAATCAAGGTCATTGAAACGTACTAGCACCGGAGATTGAACGGTTGAAACCTTTCATGAATACCAACTGTGGTTTCTGTTAGCTCCGGGCGCAAGTTAGCTTTTCACAGTTGCCTTAGTCACTGCCTGTGCAAACCAGGTTTGGGCAACCTTGGTGTTCAGACTACCAGTGATCGGCTACTTACGTACTTTTTATCTCTTAGTTGTTTTCTAGGTTAATCTAGTCCCCCTCTCTAGTAACCTCCAGAATTAGGTCCGCTTTCAACATAATGCAGGACTGAGGGCGTTGTCGGAGTTTGGGTCATCGCTAACGTTGCGCACACATTACTACAAAACCAACAACACCCCTAAATACCCTCTTCATAGATAGACTACAGTACTCATTTTATCTGCTAACGATCCCGTTAACAACTCCCTGTCCAATATGGCACTCGCAAGTGTCGTTGTTTGTCCCTCCATGGTACGACTACCTCTTCATTATGACCGATTTGGTGTTTTTCCGAAATTGCACTAGGGCACATTAGAGTTCAGTGCATGAACTTAGACTAGGGTAATTAGAATTCATTGGGGAGCATTTTTGCGAGAGTCTTGATCTTTCGTTTTCGGAGCTAACTGGACATGATACCTTGTTTGAATTGTCAAGGAAAACCTTGTACGGTAGCACCTCCTCCGGGTAGTCGCCACTGTGGGCAGTGGTGTTTTTTTGCTTTCTCCAGGAGTAATGTATCGCATCCAACATCAGTATCTCAGGTTGTGGAAGAATTGCAGAGGAAATTGTTAAGGCTTCCAGATGTTACCCTGATAAAAAAGGGGCGAGATGGCTCAGTTGTTAGAGCGCGAATTTACTGACCGGAAGGTCCGTGGTTCGAACCCGACCTCTGCCTCTCGACTTTCCTTGTCTAGGTTTGGGCAACCTGGCAGTATCCCAGCCCTCGTGCTTCCTTAGGGTTGGATGGCATCTAGGCACAGAAAGGATGTTACACCTGATAAAAATATTCAGTGGCTTTCGGTTGAGTTTATCGGCTGTCATATAGTGTAACGTATACTGCATATATGTTTTTTAAACATGTCTCTGCTGTTGTTTCAAGGTTTCCCTCTAACTCTGATGAGATTTCGTCCTCAATCCACATGGTCACCTCTGCGAGGCACAACAACAGATCGGCATCACCTGTAATCTTTGAAATTCTTTAATTTTTCTGGAGAATCAATCAACTTTGAGTAGCTATCTCAGTGGAAATGGGTTTGGGGTTTTCAAAGGTACTGGTTCCTGTAGTGGTTTTCCATATTTACTGTCCCAAGCCTGGGACCACCGAAAGACATTTGAAACCCTGGACTCTGGCAATACAGATACAATCTGAACACCAGTTTGCTCTCGAAGAAGCCGATCGGTCTCACAGCTCCCAGGACCTCAAACAGCCAATTTACCACCTGATTAGAGTCACTGCATTCAAAAGTCCTGCAGTTGACTCCAGTTTACCGATCGACTCGCGTTAAGCGGTTAGTGCAATGATCACTGATGATACTTCGTTGCAATGCATCTACGAGCTCTGCTGGACGAAATCCGTCCTTACCGGTAAATTAGTACGGGCTGCCAACACAACGTAATGTGTTGAAATACACCTTAGTTGAGCCGATGCTGAAGGTAAATTTGATGTGGAATGGAGGAACTGAATAATTACGGTCGTATTCGATGCTACCTTAGAATACGTCATAGTAAGTTTCCTTGTCCCTTGATTCCTTACACAGTTCAGTCAACTGGTACTCGATCACAATGGCCTTAATAATTTGTCCACGTTTCATCGCGTTGCACGAGTATCTCACGGCTATGCGAACGTGTCGAGCATACTTCTGCTCCATACAAAGTAAAACATTCCATCGCACACAGAGGGACTGTTTAGTTCAGTTGAATAGAAGTGATATTTTATTTTCCCTTTTCATGAAAGGTCCTCATGAGTCGACCCCGTTTAGGACACTTTCCGAAGATGTTTTCTCCAGGGGGTACCGTATCACTTGACGTATGCACAGCTAGGAACAAAGAGACGTCTGTTGCAGTAGTGAATAGGTGTGACTGACAGTCATTTCCTATTTGGTTTATCTATCCAGCAATTTGAAGCGTTACCACTTTGTAATTTAATCTTTGCTTTGGGGGAAAAACCCGAAGCATGATAAATAAAAGGCGGACTGACACTCAGCAAATCGGATTCCTTTAATAAACCCCGAACTAGTTCATGTTTATTGTACCATCACGAGGTTTTCGAAATTACGCAATTATGGAAGTACACGAGCTTCTATTCCTTTTTATGAATACCAGCTAATTTCATTTCACAACATGCGGTGTACCAAATCACAGCGGAGCACCTCTTGTAACGTTTAAAACTAATTGCTGATTCCAACTCGAGTCGCCGTAAGTGCACTTGTCCGATTATTGGGTGAAATTGTCCTAGTTGTGAATCGTTCGTCCAGTGTCACGTTGAATCGCATACACAAATCGTAGCAAGAATGCATGTCGAACCATTAAATTTCCTTACTTGTGTGAAGTGTGGAATTAACTAATGAGGAGACAACATGTTCGAATGTCCAATAGATGAAACAACTGAATCATCCAAACAAATGTGCTTGAATGTTGGCCGAACGAAGAGTTTGGAAAGGGGAACTGTTGCGAGAGAACTGACTGACACAGCTTTCACTTACCGATTTCTTTTGCGCGTATGTTGGAACAAAACGAGATAGCAAATCTTTTTTTGATCCCAAGTTTGTAAGGGAAATATCTGAGGTTGTGTCGATTTCTCCTGTATTAGATAATCCATCCACGCTCATTTACACACTGACCTGTGGGATAGGTGATCGGTTACTTTCCGGAAATGCTAGTGTAGGCTTTGCCGCGCGATTCTCGAAGCCAACTCACAAAGTGTTACAAATTGGGTAAATCTATTAAGCCCTTCCTCAAGTTAACGAGGTTGTGGAAACTCAAGAAATCGAACGAACGACACCTGGTTTCAAAAACGATGACCACATTTATTCACGTAAATTGTGTGTGTTCATACGTTCCAGGAAACTCCAACTAAATCACTCAATTCAAACGCCATAATGAGTATGAATGCCTGTCCTGGCCAGCAGTTTTGTGTGTAGTTCAGGGTTTTGCCCTTAATACTGGATCGTCGGTCATCCGTTCGTGCCAAACTGTCGCATACATATATGTTGTGTGAGTTTATGAGAAATTCAAGTTTGCCCTGCTGTCTTGCAACCACAGCACGAAGATAACAAAACAGTGCAGCGGTTGCATCATTTGTTCGGTCACTGAAGTTCATCACTTACAGTACTTTTAAGGCCTTACTTTTGGGTACCAGTGTGAGTCATTCCGACCACAAATTATATTGTCCAGTGCCATCAGTTTCATTCCCGAGCATGAGCCATTGCTCATGTAAATTCGTTTCAATGTACTCTCGTCCTCTGAAATGCACCGCGAAGCAACATAGACCACCGCCAACCTCACCAACCCCACTGTCACATCCGGTTCCCGTAGTATGGCTACTCTGTTCATATTCGCACCACAAGTGTTCTACACCATTTCACGCCATGTTTCGGTCAGTGGAAATAGGGATTCGATCAACGAACCCTTCGCTTCGGCGAAAATTCAGCTGGCCGGCGTGATGTGTAAATGAAGATGGATGGGTCCGATAACAGTAAATCTCCCTTTCTGCTAACTGAACTGTCTCAAGGCCATCAACTTATGCTGAAAAACTTAGGCTAGTCGGCAAACTGGACGCAGCATGGAACCATTATGATTGCTCGTAACCACCTGCAAAACAGGATATCTCACCGATTTTCAGTCGTCGTTATGGTGTCAAGCGAACCACTTCATTAAAAATGCTTCGTATCCCTAACCAACATAAAGGCCACACTGAGACAACCCCGAACCAACTAGTTCAGGCAGGAGGTTCGTCAGGTGGCTCCCAATGGCTCGTATAGCTAGCATTCCGCTAAAATACGACGAAGATGAGGAGTAATGGGAGAACATTGAGGTACATGAAATGACACAGAGTTGATTACTGGATTAGAGATTGTGGGACTGGGGCTGACCTCCCGGTTTTCTGAACAGCACAAAAGTAGATGAACTAGCTAACTGGGTTGAGGGCGTTGCGACCAAGCTATCCACATTACCCCTGTGACATTCAACGACCAAGCTATCCACATTACCCCTGTGACTTGTCGCTGAGTTTGATAAGGACGCGAGTTAGACAACACTGGTCGGATACGTGCTCACATTGAAGAAAATTACATGAGATGATGAACTCAATTGATAATGAATGACTGAGAAAGAGGTACGCTTAAAAATTTATGCTGATCGTTTGGGTCGAGGCAACAAGCAATAAACCTCTTTTGTTGCCGAACCGAGGTTAGATCGAATGCACCAAAAGGAACAGCCTGCATATTATTTGTTCAGTACCATTTACTGACTCGATTAATTTAATTGTCAAAAGAAGAACGCACTTGAGTCAAAGCTGCAACCAGCAGATGTGCGGCTGCGTTCATAGGGCGTCAGCAGACCGGCTATTGTTGACGATAATATTTCAATTCCGCTCGCACCTCGGAGAATTAGTTCCAGAGACCGAAATTCGGTCTTCTACTCTAGTAAATTTAGGGGGCCATTCACGTGCCCTCAACCTGACTGAAGGTTGGTTCGTGAAACACTGACTGGAGAGCAGCAAGCGGGGTTCTGGCCCGATAGGGTTTACGTTGATTAACTCTTCACACTCAGTAGGTGTTCGAACAACGCCATACGTATAGACGATAAAAAATTTTGGTATTCCTGGATTTTCAAGCCGCCTTCGACTCATTGATAGGTTTATTCTCCATAACACGCTTGACCATTTTCAAAGGTGTGAAGAAGGCGCAGGTGTTTTTAGATGAACTGATCAAGGTCATCCCGTCCTTTGGTATGCACTTTGCACCCACAAAGTGTAAGGCCGTGCCCGTGGACATGCAGTCACTGAACATGCCACTTACGATCCAGGGGGAGGCAGTCGAAGTTGTGCAGCGTTTTACGTATCTTGGAAGTATTAGTTCTGATTGTAGTGTGACAGATAGGATCGATGTATGAATCTGCAAGGCTCGGGTCGCGCCTACTGATTCGAGACACCAATGGTGTAAAAGCGATATATCCCTGAATCTCGAGGGCCTGTGTATTGGGTTAAAGTAGTGGCTATTTCGTTGTATGGCGGGGAGGCTTGGTTTGTTCGAGCAGCGGAACTGAGACGCCTTCAGGGCATCGACAACCGATGACTCAGAACCATAGCTCGTGTGGATTGGCGTCGGTGATCCGTAACGAGGCAGTTAATTAGTAAATGTTCGCTTGTGCAACTTCAACTCCTGTGTGTAAACTTCAATCGAAGTAGGTGTCCAGCATCACAAGCTGCGTCGGTTGGGCCATTTATCGCGTATACCGAACTATCGTTTGCCAAGGAGTACTGTCTTTGGTGCCCAATTCAGGGTGGTGGAAGCAGAGATGTGTCCAACCCTTGACCTGGCAGGTGGGTGTGAAAGACTACGAAACGTTTGGTTGCTGTCGGTGATACTCGCCTTCCAGGACGGGGACCGCGTCATCCTCACTGCGCCTGGTTGGTGACGCTGCAAGATATGACTAATTTATTCAGATTACCCAAACGAGTGTCTGGAAGTGTAGGCACCTCAGGCCAGCACAATGTCCCTTCCTGTCCACTTTATTCTTTTTTTCACAATAGGGCTTTCAAATAAATCATGGTTGTACGACAGCAAAGCATCAGTGTTGAACACTGATGTCGTACTGTCCAAGATGATGATGACGACAAAATGGAATGCATTGAAGTCACATATGAGGGACTAATTCAACAGTCATACCAAGAGTGGCTTTAAGGAGATCGAACCGGGCAACTCATCCAACAAAATGAGGGGTTGCAGGTCTTGGAATGGCTGCCGAATGTTTCAAACCGTTGTTGAAAACTGTTTATATGACTGAACACGTATGGTATGTGTGCCAAAGACTTAAAACATCACTTCATATGTATGCCAAACCTTTAAAATATAATACAGGGTTTTCATAAAGGACACTACTCAAAAGATCGTTGAAAACTCTTTTTGATAATATGCTCAGAGGGTACCATTGTTACTGTCCAGTTGCCATTAACATCGGCCATAGCATATAAGGGCTCGCTAAAGCGCCACTTAATTCAATAACCGATCGAATCGATGTTCTTTGTTTTTGAGGGGATGGGACTCTAGCACGCAAGACCCGAAGTGTACACATTGGATTGACAGGACCAGGTCTTTTACCTAGCTAAAATCAGGTTCCGTGGACTATTTCCTACAAGATTTTCGAACCAGAATACCTGTCTTAATAGATCAAGATAACTTCAACAGTTTCGACTGGGAGGAATGGTCGCTGGACATGCTTTTGAGCTGGCAGAATACTGGAGGGCATTCTGAATGTGTACATCACTAAGATTAAGCTAATGCTAGCATTCTGTTTCATACGCTGTTTGTACTTCAGGAAACAGTCGTTTGAAAGAAGCGTTTTAGGAAGAGCTAAAATAATATCACACACCATCCGACTTGGAAGATGAGATACGTGGAATCTTGTTTTCCCGAAGAAACTAGGCGTTCTTTGCAGTTAGTCAATGTGCCTGTTGAATGACGGTTTTGTTCGGTTGTTGATAGAATAAGTCATGTCATATCTACCTAACAACAGCGGGCTTACAAGTGAGCTGTTTATGTTTAGTCAAGTTACTTTGCTGGGCAGTTTGTCTGTTAGTCTGTTTCTAAGCTGAGCTATACCTCCAACAACATGGCCTGAATCTCATCTAACTGCGGTCAATCTATGCATGCATTGGTTTTTGGCAGCTGACTCTGAAACGGCTCCTTTTCAACCTTTGCTCCTCGTGTTCCACTTAGAACATTCAAGTTTCCATACCACTCAAGTGAGCTCCGTTTATTGTATTTACGACAAGATCGATTCGGCATGATAGCTGAAGTTGGTCTGTATTCAGTTTGCGCGATGGATAATGGCTAAGATCTCGGTCCCCCCTGTCTCGAGTATTAATCACTGACGACCGATGCTTCACATACGAGTAGAGTCTTAATATGATGGCTCCGTTCTCGTTACGTTGGCGGCTTGTGCTTTCAGAGCTGTGACAGAGTGCTCAAAATGCCTTGTAGCACAAGTTTGTTGAGTGGGTTTCCTGGTCAGTGACTGAAGGAGACAGTTTGTGCTGCACGTTTTCTATTCCGAACGGTCTTGCCAACCGCTTTTAGCACCGAGTTATCTGTTGGCGTTTGGGTTCATCAGCGGTAAGTGTATTGCAGCGTCTTGGTTGCGCGCATCCTTTTTTTATACAAAAAACTAACCATAGGCTTCACGGATGCGCTGGTGATTCGTGCTGCCGTCGGACCAGATTCAGTTGAAAGTGATTCCTACACCATTTCCAATCAGTCGTGAATGCGATTTGAGGTTCAGACACCCAGGGCATAGCGACGAGACCATGTCCTGATTGTGGGTCCTTGCGTCGACCAGCCGCTTTCTTGCAGAAACGCAATGTCTACCTGCCGTAGCTCAATATCCACCGCTCGGTGCTTTGGCGATCACAGATCAGTCTATTGATCCCATCGTCGCTTAGTCCTGTTCGGTTTACCTGCGCATCCGGTTTACCAATGTCCACACTGCGTCAAATAGCTTATTGATGCGCAGTGAGAGCGTAAAAGTTTAGATCGCGTCTGCATACCATTGACGAACCGATGCATCAGCACTCGAAACAAAGCACCTAGCCATTGAAACAGTAAGGAACACGATAACGGACAATGACGTTTTGTCACCGAATATGATGCGGAGGATTTTGTGGAAGCACAAGCCTATATAGAAGTGGAAGATTATTTGTGCCAACTACACAGACGATTTATTGATGAAGAGCTAATTTCTGATTGCCTGACTATTTTGCTGACGATCCAGCAGTTTCTGGAGGGAACCGTTCCGAACGGTATGCATCGGGGGCAAATGTCATCGGCGCTGAAAAGTTGGTCGATGTATATTTCATGGAACGTCGGATTACAAAGGGTAGGAGTCGAATTCGGAAAATACAAAAGTGGTTTTCCTTCCGTTGTTTGCTGTCGATTCATGGCAGGAGAGACCCAAGATAAAAACCGGGCAAATTCGCGGCAAATACGGGCCTTTCCAGGTGCATTAGCACGTGTTGATGACGTAGTGGCAAAAAGCTCGATCACTATATCTGATGTCCGGCATGGCCAAAAATGCGCCATAACAAGAACGAAATTCGATCTCAGTTCATCTCCCTAGGTGTGGACTTACCTGAATACTCAGGCCAGCGCATGAGCAGGACTGTTCAGACCAGACAACTCCTTCAACCACGTACCACTACCTCAATTCAACCCTTCACACAGTCAGAAGCCACTACTCACTAAAACTGCTAATCGTCCTTCCCAACACCCATGTCCACGTGTGCTCATGTTCCCTTTGACCTGCTTACTATATACGGATGGACGTGAGAGGTGAGGCGAATTGCACGTTTTCAGATCAGGATGACCAGCAGTGGACCTGTAACTCAACCGTGCTCAGCGCTGATTCGAGAATCGGGCCCCTGTTTGAGCACTTGCTTCAAACTTACATGGCGTAAACGATTCCGTTGAAATTCATCCTCAGACTTCCACTGATCTCATCTGTGCATAGACTAACTTCACTTGGCTCGAACACCTGTGGTTCATGCATGATCAGAACACCCCTGTTGCGGAATGTGGTGGGGGTACTGGTGGTCTACTGCTGTTCCGGTGCACTTCCGAAGTTGTGGATTTGTTGAGATCAGCTGGCATAGCGCCTTAACTAATTGAGGCAATGGTGAAGAACCTCAGAGCTGCGTAGAAGTGTTACAAGTGGACGTTCAACCCCTCCCAAATTTTGAAAATCTCAATGGAACTGCTGAATGTAATGATGGACTTTTCTTGGACTGTGTGGTGTGCTTGAGTTTTCCCGCTTTTGCTTTCTGCACTGCCTTCAAACGTGTGAAAAACAGTTGATATGTTATGTGGAATATATTAACCTTCCTGTTAATTTAGGGCATTCAAAATTTCGCGGGTGCCTGGGTGCAAGAGGAGTACACTTCTTTCGACCCTCATCCGTTTGATGTCAACCACAGAAAACAGTACAGCACATAAAAAAAGGTTGTCTTTATTAAGACTATTCAAGTGAGTACAGTTGATTTTCCACCCGTCTTCTTCACTGGGTAGATCCGTCCTGCATTTCCTGAGAGAATTTCTCCATAATGAGTGTGGGTTGCACGCTGGGTGCAATCAACTGGTTAAAGTATTACAAAGGGTATATTAGTCACATGAGATTGTCAAAAAAAGTTGTAGGACATGTCAGGGGAAGCAATCGATGGGTAGGTATGAGAAAGCAAACTGAGGGGAAACGAAATGCAAAAGATAAACTAGTGTGGAATGAGAATTTGTTCGGCACCGTTGCATGCTGCATCGGAATATAGCGAAAAAAGGTTTACCAACACACAGTTAGACCAAATGCGCGAAAAATAGGTATAAATGTCGACAACAGGGGATTTCCGGCATTCAGGAGCATGAAAGCAAGGAATGAAAACGGGGATGTCAAACGATAACTCAAAGCTAAACTTTTTATTCGAAGACCTGCTTCAATACTTCCTCTACACTTGTTGTGCGTTAGTAACTCTGGATGCTGCCCTTACTCCAGTTATCTCGTTTTCCAATCCAAAAGCAGTTAACCATTTATGCTGATGCACTTGAGGCAGCTGACCAATCAAACCTAGTATGTGTTTGCGAGTCGGTGTGTTTAATTCGCAGTCGTTTTTGGGCGCTTGATTGCCACGTCCCAGATCGGCTGCAGGCAGAGAGGGTGCTGCAGTGACTGGTGTTTGAGGCATACCGAAAATCTGAGATGCTCTAAGAATATAAGGGGAGCTCCCCGGTCCAGATTTTCCCTGTCTTGAAATGTTCTCCATTCGTGTTGGTGCAGAGCGAATCTCTTTTGTTCTCGGACACGCAATAGGAGGAGTGATAGCGTCAAAAACTGGGCGTGTTTGCCATGTTTTTGAGTTTCCGGTGGACAAGTTACGAATATAGCTTTCCATACTAAGCTCATCAGATACGTCAGTGGCTGTATCCTGTGGTTCAGCATCTAGCACGGTGGTGTACAGACTGTGCTGGTTTATCAACTTAGAAGCCTGGCTTGTATACTTCTGTTCATCAGAAGGATTCACGTAAACGGAATTCATGGCCGTGTTCAACGCAAGGAGATGTTTGTGCAATTCGACGCTGTAAAACGAAACAAGGGGCTATGAAAGTATTCATGCGAAACAAAAGGTGCATGCCGAAAGACACAATGAAGCTTACCTCCCGAGTAAGGATACTTTATGAATGAAAATAACGACGAAATCCGATTCAGTTCGCCAAAGTAGATATACCGCTCAGTGGGGAAAGCTATCTGCCCTTCATCAGTAATTAAGCTACATACAACGCATACCTATTCAAAGATTTTGAAAAAACACTAATATGATGGAAAAGATGTGTCCCGAAAAACTGTGCCACACGAAACGTTCTGTCCCTTTTTGGAACTATTGAGACGAAGCTGTCTATTTCGAATTTTCGGAATATATGACCGTATCTTTCCGAAAAACGTTCTTATACTACTAAGCCGCCGTTGACGGCCAGTTAGATAAGTAGTGTGATTTATTGCTATCAGGCACGGTCCTGACTGGTTCAGTGCTTCTCCAGCTTGATAAGGCTTGTGAGCTACGTCAATATCCACTTTATTCGTCAGATTTCAAAATCTACCGTGCCTTTATTTCTTCATCGATACTCACTTGTATATCCTGACAAACTGAAATAAGATTTGAATGAAATTACTCCCAAAACTAGAAATCAAAAACGGCAAATCGAAGGTGTCACTGGAAACAGTATGAAAAAGAACTTCAAATTAAACCTGTCACTTGATCGAAAATACCAGTTGTGAAGATAAGGACACCATCAAACACACGACACCTCCGCACATTAACCCAACCTTAGCACTTTAGAGCGGTGGTACGTACTGTATATCAGTGTTGGTTACCGAATAGCCAACATATCCACAAGTACACAGTGTACAATTTTCTCCAGCGACGTTGTGATGAACTATCGACCGGTACAGAAGTGTTTCAAGAAAATTAATCGGCTAGTTATCTTGCCAAACTAAGTTTGCGGATCAGCAAGATTAACTACTCTAGTCGGCTCGACAGCATGTTGTGCATGCATCTTTCCAGTACAGCACGTTCATAGCACACAACCAGCCTATCAGAAACAACACGTCAATTTTCCTGTAGGCAGTTGCAAAGCTTACATTCGCATCATTATAGTTTGAAAGTCCTTCTATAGAGACACGGTCCTTCCGATTATCCCGCAATTCGCTCAAGAAGGCGCTGTTCTCAGTAGAAAGTTTTGCCAGAAAAGAACACCAGCATTCTTAAATTGTCTGATCAGAAAGTAGGTGAGGTTTATTAAAAATTAAATCCGGAATCCAATCTGTCCCGTTCCTAAATGACGAGGTATTCGAATAAAAACATTTTTCCTCAATGTGATTGATTGCCAAACAGCTGTGGATCAGTAAAAATCACACTTCTGATATTGTGGCCCGGAAAAGTGAGAGTGCAAGGAAAACGTTATCCTGAAAAATACGTTTTTAGCGATGTCTCGAGCAAATAGCAAAATCTAATTCATTTCTCCGTTACCATGCCGGAAACTTAGAGATTTAAAACACACTTGTTTCGAAGGCAGTGGAGTTGAAACTAAAACTGAATACACCGATTCCATAACCACAAGGTACTGGCTGGTAGGATGGAAATCCTGTTATGTGCTAACCTGAATGAAAGATCTGCGGACTTAGCATGTTAATGAAAACAAATACTCTAAATCATTTTGTGGGTTTGAGTACGACACGGACGAAATCGATCGATATTACGACAGCTAAAAGTCAAAAAAGCAGGTGGGAAATTTCTTGAGACATGCTTCTTAGTATTGTTAATTCCGTCAGATTTTCGTACAGAATATTGCTGTAGGTTTGTCGGTGGACATGGTGCAAATATGACAGTATCCATTCGAAAAACTTTACAAGTCGAACATTTCCATCAATCACGTAAGCAAATTTTACTTGTCGTCCTCGTTCTGTATCAATTCAGGTTGTCTTGGGACGCGTATTGACTTCCGTTAGGTATTTGAAACTAACGGCACCACCAGTGCCGTTAAAAAACATAATTAGACGATATCCGAATGCAAAAATGATGCAGTCAAAGATGTGACATTAAAATTAAACAAGGACCCAATCTCGAAACATTCTTCACCTTCCGAAGGCACTTATACAACAGTGGTTCACATAGTTTTCGGTTCATGGGTAATGAAATCGGAGCAGATAAAACGAAATACCAACTTTCTTAAAAAAATGATGTAAGAGGATGTGTTGTACTCCATCCCTCAATGAGAGTCTTACGCTTTGGGTGATTACCGTAAACGAGACAGGTTTGACGAACAGCTTAAAATTATGAGGCCGCTGAGAGGTAACCAGTGAAAAATCAGCCGATGAATTTGAATAAGCCAATGTGCCGCTGATGCGCATTGGCATGAACAATCGTCACCGAACAAAACTCCACGAAACTGGTTCGTTGATTCAATCGGTCGATTTCCTCTGTCCCGTATATATGTTCAATTCACAATCCAATCCACAGATGGATCACAGTAAGCGGTATTTGACATGATAATGTAATAACGACTATCTGGACAGTATGGCATGGGAAGTTTTACGAGCATCCAAAAAACAAAACGTGCGTTCTGAGTAATTAAAAACAACAATAAGAGCGGATCCATCCCCTTTCGACGCCGACTTTATTCACTTGGAGTGAACCTTTCCACTGTTTCTGTCGACCTACAGTCCAACCTCCCAAGGGCGATATAAACCATTCAGAAAAGCAACCATTTAGACTTCTCGAATCATCTAGGTGGAAATATAACTGTTCTCAAACAATGCATCCCGACTCTAATAATTGCCATGATAGTGTGCATAAGCTATGCATAAAGCGGAGCTAGGTATCACACTACCGTAGAAGACACTACTCGAGGTGTGGCTATTTTATTAATGGAAACTGCCTGACGTGCTGGCGGTTTAGATGAGTAAGTGAAGCTCACTCGTTTGTTCCCGTTACACTATAAAAACTAATGGTTCAAAATCAGCGGCTGAGAAAGGGAAGCTTAAGTAGCAGTTCTCGTGACTCACCTGTTGTTGATCATCGTTTGTGCTTTTTGTACTGCAGGAAAGCTTCCCGTAATAGTAATTCGACGTTCACAAAGATTTTCTTCTCCACTCGAAATTTTGATGTTTGCCTGTGATGTCTGAAGTGAAACATACATATAAATGTTGTAAACTGCAAACTTTTAGCTTGCACATCACCAAAGCAGAAATGCTTTATATTGCCACAGGGAATTGAAGACCAGGTACCTATTAGACAAACGATTCCGTAAGAAAACCAAGTAACTCTTAGGTTAAAACGGATGAAGGAATTTGCTTTTTTGAGCACTCACGACACAGTAATGTTCGAGAGGGATTTGGATCCCAAGTGCAAATGGCAGCAATCACATTTCATCAGGAATAAAACGGGGCAGCCAAACTCGGACCCACTGGAGTGAGCATTCACAAAGAGCGAATGTTCTTCTTTGTCCTAAAGGCTTTTATTATATTTGTTTTACTCAAGGGCAATGGAAGCAACCGTTCATTTTCTTTCAATACGAGACAATTCTGCATAACAAATTACCAGCGAGACATGTGGTAAATCACCTGAGATTTAGGCTACTTGTTATGGACTAAAGCCGTTATATACAGGAAACCGTATAGAAGTTTGAAAGTAAGGGAGAGGAGACGGCGCAACGCAATAACATACCTGACGGATCTCATTTATTTTGTTGCCACCACGACCAATAATACAACCGACCAGGTCATTCGGTATGTACATTTCCGTCTTGTGTTGCGTGACAGATTGCGTCAGACGAACAGGAGCTTTCGGGCAGGTTGGAAAGGTTGGCTGGTTCGAAGCTTGAAGCACCGATGTGTTCAGTAGTTTTTGCGTCGTCGCTGTCTGGTCGTGGTTGTTTGGAGTCAGGCCGGTTTGTGCGGCAGAGAGGAGAGATTGACAGACCGCTGTAGATGCTTCAGAGAACAAGCTGTTAGTCTGAACCTGGGAGCGGATGACTTGCGTTTTCAACTGATCTGCATCACTGGATATGACCAGTCTGAGAGGCGTTAAAAATTCCTTTGCATTTTGACTGTCTCCGGCTTCAAAACACTTATAGCCTAAAATTCAGTGAAACGATGTTAAACCAAAAAGAATCATTCGAAATTTAGCAGCCAAGCTAAGACTGGAACACTTCCAGGTGTTCAGTTAGTAAAATAAGCTCCGTCTTGCTGTTTCTTTTAGAAGAACTGACTTGTTGATAATCCTTTTACTGGAAATTATACTTGTGGGGCCTCCGTGAAAATGTATGCTCAAAAAGTTCTGCCCCATGTACCTTTTGAGCACCAAAGTAATCCAGATAGTTTGAGTCGTGCTCAAACCATCAAATGTGTCTATCTCGAGGTCGTACTATCCAAAATTGAAAAGCAACAAGCCCGCACCTGCTCAGAAGTAGTTTCGGTGGACACTACCCGGGCTTTTTGTGGAGATTTCGTCCTGTAAGTGAAGCCAATGTATGCTGAAAAGCCGAGAAGCACTGTATAGCTGTTTTATCCTTAGTGGGAATCATCGGCAGTGCGCAACTCACGAAACTCCGAAGAGCCTCGAACCCGCGACCTCCCGCCTAGTAGTTTGAACATCTAACCGTTCGGCCACGAGTGACTGATCAGCAGTGTGAGTACCTCGCACTTAGACGGGATATAGCGCCACTCATCCTTCAATCACGGGATTCACATCACGCGGTCACACCTGTTGACTGGCTCCTCGAGCAACAGCTTCTCAGATAGAAGTTTCACTCATCAGGTGAAGTTTATTCTTCCACTGAGCTGCTTATATATTGTTGGTAGTGTGAGGAGATTTGGGATTTTTGTGTCAATACGTGTGACCGCGTGATATGAATCCCGTGATTGAAGGATGAGTGGCGCTATATCCTGTCTAAGTGCGAGTTAATCCCACTGCTGATCAGTCACTCGTGGCCGAACGGTTAGATGTTCAAACTACTAGGCGGGAGGTCGCGGGTTCGAGGCTCTTCGGAGTTTCGTGAGTTGCGCACTGCCGATGATTCCCACTAAGGATGAAACAGCTGTACAGTGCTTCTCGGCTTTTCAGCATAGATCGGCTTCACTTACAGGACGAAATCTTCACAAAAATCCCAAATTTCACACTACCAACACTATCCGGACTCTTACTCCGATTCTGATGCACTCGAATTTATTTTGAATCTGGTAATCCAGTAAACAATATTACGAACTTGAATTATGGACCAGAAGTCCTAGAGAGATTCTCGTCGGGTGTCTCGAATAGCCTACCACTCTCACTTGGAAATATTTACACCAATAAAGACGTTATATATATATATATATTATATATATTATATATATATTATATATATATGGAAAGCAACGATTTATTGAGACAAAAGTGCTATGAGGCAAAATGTTTATTGTGAGAATACCTTCTTAGTTGCTTGGTTGTCATTGCGAAACCAGTTGTCATACACTTCGAATAGTAGGTACTGTTTAATAGCAAGTTAAGTTAGCGAAATTCATTAATATTCATCTACCAAAATGTGCACTGTCTCTCGTGATTTACATGGGTTGATTATTCAGTGACAATAGACAGTGCAATCTTTCGCAATAATGTTTGAAATATTTTGCAGCAGCGCACCGAGGATGGTAATCGCCACAAACACGTCCGCTGTGAATTGAACTTACTGGGTAAAGCCATTGTACTTTCATGAAGGCTTGCTGTCCGTAGAATGCTATCTTGCGCACTCGACATGGAGGGTGGGCTGAATGGATAGTATCCGTGGATGAACTGTTCAGAAACAGTAAAATTCTGATGATTAGATTATGGTGAAAAAAGGGTGTGAAACAATAGTCTGTAGTGAGTTTGGAAAATGTTATTTGATGAGGCTCCTGACCACATTCTCGTAGTATAAGAACCACTTTTGGTCTGTGTGCATGGTGCATTCGATTTCGTCTGAAGCTAGCTATCCACCACATACCGGTCAAATTCACCCAAACATGATCGTGCTCAACGCACAAAGTAGGGTACAAGTACATTGTTACTAACGGTTCTACATGGCATTCGATTGGGGTCCGTGCGAAGCCAGTGCGCTTGACCTGTGGGTGACGGTTGTTGTCCAGTACTCTCGGCAATGTCCTATGGACCACGCTACGGGGTCAGTGATTGTGGTATAGCTGCAGATGTCTTAACGGAATTGTCCGTAATGCTTTGTACCTATCATGTTCATAACATTGCTGGGCGCTTAATAAATGTTCAATGCGCGGAGTGACTTAATTGATTGCAATTGCGTTTCCACGTGGTGCTGCGCTGATAACGGATATCCGACGTGAATTTGAAGTGCACGTTTTACAGGCGTAGGGTTCTGTTCACAACTCCCTTGGCTGCGTATATTCGCAGATGGTAGTGTTCGTTGTCAATAAGTCTCACTAATGAATGACAGAGGTTGCTCTGATCAGTGAATAAGTCTAACGTGGCTGACCGTTTTGCCGTCAGCATATTGAAGGGAAACAACCATAAACCGTCTGGAGTACATTAGAATCGGAAAGTATCTCCAGTCATGCTAATCTAGGAGGATCAATTATATGCGGGTACTCGAACAGGCTTTCTCACTTCATCGTTCTGTTGTATCAGACACCACCAGATTTCATAATTAACTTACATTCACGCGTCATTAATCAGTCGTTAACCCTTAATCCAGACTTCCGTGGGTCATTTTCAAAAGATCAGGCAGTCAGCTAGCTTCTGAATTCTGCCATCGGGATTTGGCTTCTTAATGGACCAACCGAAAGGGGTTTTGGCTATTCATGACCTGCCGGGTGGGGCCAACTTAAGTAGAAAATGTTATGCACAAGGTCGTGCATAGCAGGTTTGTGACGTGTACATAAGGCTATAATCTGATGGGTTGATGCAAGAGAGTGACGTGAATTGTAGCAGTATATTATAACACATATTATTCTGTCACTGCCAGCAATGCCGGGTGAAACATTAAGCATAACGAAGGTTCTTAGGGAAAAGTAAAAAATTGGTTTTCTATGCCTCCTTATGTATGTTCCAGTGTAATATTCCGCTGGGCGTATTCCTCTTGTGAACTTTGTGTGTGTGTATCCTTCTGTTCACCTTCTATCTATACCGCGCCAGCCATACGCAGATCCGATTGCCTCATATCCATCATTGGTTGTCATGTCTCGCTCACATGATACATTTCCTAGTCATATACGCGGGCCGGTTTTGGTTCTCTCTTCAATAGCTGACAGTTAGGCTATTCAGCAGCACACTTATTAGCCAGAATCATGGCAGCATACATAGTACACACACCTGCAATGATGCCGGCTGGATGAAGAAGTTTCAGCAGATGTTTCCTTGCCCTAGGGAGATTCAATAGAACAAGCGACTATTTCTATACGCTTCTCGAACAACCAATTTTTTTCGTCGTAGAAGTGACAATGTTCAGGGTAAATGCGGATATTAATGGCTGAACTTGATCTTACTGGAAGTCGTATATCCTTCACATATGGATGAATTCGCCAAGTCCGGATGACTTCCGCCTCGTGTGGAGTTACTTTGTTCAGTGGTGGATGGGGCTTAGCGCAGTGTTACGGTACAATAACCAAGTCTCACTGACGCCAACACTTTTGGCTTATGTGCCGGACTCTCTTGTGGGACATTTACGGATCCTTTCCCTGCACGAACTACAACGCCTGCCTAAAGGGAACCTTCGACGTGACACTTCTTGAGTGGCCAACTGCTCAGAGCGAATTTCAAGGACATAGTGCTGACCCTTCTATGTTTGTATATGTTCATATGCTTGCAAATGTTTTGCAGACCATTTGTGTCGAAAAAGACAATGTTTATCTCGGAGATTCAGGGAGCACTGATCGATTTACCGAAAAACTGGAATAGTGGAGCGTGTGACAAGCGCTTTCACCAGTCACCTGACAGATACAAACCACCGAGTAGGCCCGGACGAGCCATCCGACCGAAAAAAATAGGTTGAAGATTACTCGCCAACAGATCCTCGAAACAGCCAGAGCAACCGCCATTCAGATATGTGAGCACAATTTTGCCGACAAAAGACTATGAAACCACTAACACTGGTCAAATATGCCGGCAACTGAGTAGGTAGTTCCATCGTTTTACATCTACAGTAGAGCAAAAGTGTACTGTATTTTAACCTGATTTTCTATTTTGTCGTTTTACCCTATAAGACGCGCCTCAAAACTTATGTTCCCTGATTAAAGTGGGAATATTCAACTAGCTTTACCGGATTCTCTCCAGAATGAGAAAAATTCCAGTAGAGGCTTCATCAGATGCAATCTGATTCACAAGCAAACATTGGATTCAAAAACCTTCCACAAAACCTGTCCCTCGACCTTTGTAGCATTCGCTTCTAGCCGTCTCACTCGCAGTGGCCGTCGCGGAGTCCCGCTGTCCACATATAAAAATCCGTCCCAAGAACCCACATGGATTCGATTAAGTCTCCCGTTAAAACCGAAATTATGTGCGAATAAGTGTATTTCGGGAACGGTCATGGTCCCTTTAGTCAAATACTGACCAACAGCACGACACTTGGCTTACATCTATGTCGTAAGTACTGGGTAAAGTGCAAACACAATAATAATTATACGTCGGAAGACGTTTACGAGGAAGACATCATATTGCTTCCTGAGCGAACTGGACCCAGTGGTAATTCAAGCGTCATCAAAGTTAATCATTCCACTTTCCGAAGTTCCCATTCGCCTCTTTTGGGGAGAAACCTGCTGGGAAACATTGTGTATATGCAGCAACTAGGTATTGCCTTTCAGTGGAAAAACTCACATGTTCGTTCTGAGTCAGTTGGCTTCCAGAGGATGTCGACGGTAGTAAGTTAGTTGGGCAAACTGTTCCGTTTAATGGTTGAGCTCGGAAGTTTGTAGAAGTGAGTGACGGTAGGAGTAAAGAATTGAGCAAAATTTCAACTGGGTGTGGGGTCTTCCAGTATCCTGAGGTGAATAGAGGGACTTGGTTCTGCGTAATCAAACCGAGTTGCTGAGGTTTGTTAGCACTTTGTGGTCGATATTGAACGCTGATGTGTTTGGAGCGCAACTGAAGCACAGAAATTAACTTTATTTGCGTTTAAAAAGATTAGTGATGACCTCATCAAACAGTATAGATTTTTTGAAAAAACATCTAGACAATACTTATGCATTCTCATACGCTGCACCTGTCTCAATTAAGCAGAACAATATAACTGCACTGACCCGAAGTCGCTAAAATTGTAATGCTCTTTCTTCTAGGAAGGATGGCTTCAAGTGACACTCTCATCCCACTAGACCCTTGACAGAATGACACTAGATTGAATTTTGTGCTTAGATTTATGACATCGCGGATGGTGTCGTTTCACTAAAGTGTAATAGCTGTGCCAAAATGGGACCTCCAGCTACTTTGCAACTAACGAAATTTGACCCATGTCTCTGCCATTTGCAACTTACCTACTCTGGTTATTATGTAGGCGCATGTCAAAGCCGAACCTATAAGTTTGAAAACTATGTAGAACCACTTGACTTTGGCCATTTAGTTGACACGTCAGACAAATGTGCCAGTCCTGTATTTTAGCTGTGCGTTTCGGACTGTACCAGGACAAAATAATCTGAAAGGACTCTAAGGACCCAAAAGAAAGACGCACACTGTCCTGTCAACTTCTTTAAGCTATTAAAAAAGACTCGAACTCAGACCCAGCCATCCAGATACAAAATGAGGTTTTCTGAGCGTACTTCCTGATAGGTCAACAGAAGGAACAGCTGATATTAGTCAGTCCTCTACACAAGCAACCAGTTATTCAACTCCTGATACGGAAATTTGATTGGACTGAGAACTGATCTAACTGTACCGTATTCCATATGGACATTCGAACTTGATCAAGCTTCTCATAATAGGATAGTGGAGCATTAATTGACTGGGTTCAACGGCCCGTCGCCTCTCGCCTAACTAAGAAAGCAGATTAAATTACGCCAACACAAGCGAGGCTTTGAACTACACAACGGGCTGTGGAGGCAGGCCAGTGGATCGCCGTGATTAATTTATCACATTGGCGACTAATCATTAAAGGAATATTGATAGCTGTTGATATATCAAGCGAGTTGATATCCACAGTATACCCCTAGTTTCACTCTGCTGGACATTCACGCACTTAAGTCGTCATTCTAAAAAAAATGAATAGAGTAACACTTTTTCCAAAAACCAGAAGCATAGTGTACTCCGATTAATGTCATTGACTTTTCTGTTGCAGTTACAAGCCATCTCCAGTACCATGCTGCAACACAGTGCGTAAAAAACCATCGTCATTGAGCAGTTTGGATGCGTCCAACGGACTGGGTATTCTTGTGACATGCAGGGCAAATATGAAAATGTTCTGCTCGGGGATCCGCTTGATCGTTTGACTTGGGTTTCTGTAACTCAAGCCCATCCATAAAGACAGTTGCGACTTATGTCTCAAATCGATACGTCGAATATTTAAGTCCCAAATTTCCGATGCGCAAAACAAGATCGATGACACACACAACTGCCAACTAGTTGAGCGGGAGCTGTTCCTTTTTTTCCTGAGTTATACGTGAAACAATGCGTCTTCGCCGTGGAACTCGGAAAAATGCGATGGCTGGGATACTTCCACGCTACCCGAATTTGGACAGGATACTGTCTGAGTGGCTCCTCGAATGCAGAGCACTCCATGTTCGATTTAAATGAATTTTCGATGACACGGGCAACCAAAGTGAATACCACAAGATTTTTTTCAAGCTGAAGATTCTTATAAAGCGGGACTTATCCAAATTGTGAAGAAAGTGGGATCATCCAAGTCACCCCCCAATCTCCCAGGTGTTACTTAGAATCACTGTACGCTCAGTCATTACAACTCTATAGTACGTGCTGACGCAATGTTATATTGTGACAACAGATGAGTGGATGGGTGGGTGGACCACCGGACGAAAACCGTTCATATTTAGAACCGATGCACCTTGTCTTCGTCGGGCTGACAAGTCAGCATAAGTTGCTGTGCCGATTAGTAGTTCAACAGAGACCCGATATCTGCGTTCTCATGCCTACGTGCTTCTGCATTTATTAGCCGGACCTAATTCCTCAGCTTATTCTCTGCATTCTCTGGGGAGAATAGAATTCCGCAACTTCGAAAAGACGGTGCTCTTCAGGTTGAAAAGACGGTTGCATTTCAAGCATGTGAATACGAATACCTAGCCTCACCGGTCCATGACTTGTTCAGCTCCCCGGGAAACGATAGCAAAGATAAGAAGTGAAATGGATTACTCAATAGAGGTTCCATCCTGTAGCTTTTGCCAATCTATAGTGAAAAAGCGACAAATGTACAATTGTTTCATTCTTTCTGGGAATCATCAGCAGTACGCATCTTACAAATTTCAGAGAGTTCCGAACCCACAACCTTGAGGTCAGTGGTTGAACACTACCGTTTGGCCACGTTCGGCTGATCAGCGGTGTAATTAACTCTCACGGAGACAGGACGGGCGCCACTTATCCTTCATTACCGGAAACCAAATCAAGTTACCGCGTATTGAACGGCTCCGCGAATGATTTACAACCAGTGAAATTATCCTTTCTCTGAGCTACTCATTGATTTGTGATTCATGAGATGGAAAACATCGATTTCACTACCATCAATCGCTGATACTGTTATACCGTATTATGTTCTGCAACTAACAACAGACGCAGCAGGTCACCCGAAAGAGCGAATGTCAGTTACTTAGCTGAATCTCTCAAGTGGTTGAGATCGCAATAGAGAATAATCGATTTCTCATGTATTGGCGCTTAACCACGTCAGGGAATGTCAAGATATCCACAAAACACCTAGGAATGGTTGCCCCACTTGGTGCCATTCTGTTTCTCTCGGTGATTTTCCCTACTTGGGGGTTACTTGTCTGGTTTAGTGGACATTTTCTACCAATAAGTGTAGAGTGAGCGGTGGATTCAGGTCTATATCTAAGTCCACACTTGGACCTAAGCCATGAAAGCCCCAGTGTATGACCTGAGGTCGAGACGGATTTCGACTGCCACATCACTTCTTTCAAGGAAAGTGGTTGTCGCTACTTCAGTTGATTTTTGACATCAATAAATATTTACCCACCTGAATAAATGTATCCCTTGCAATCAGCTTAAAGAAGGGCTTTTGTGTTCCTATTTTGTTTTGGTACCCCATTTGGTTTAAAGAATTGTCAATGTAGATGAGCTAAATATCATCTGAAAACGTCCCACACGTCTGAAAAGCATACAAATCATTGGACTGAAAGGTCAGGATTTCATCTTTCTGCTCGGAACCAAGCTATAGTGAAAACTTGAGGTCCAGTGAACATCTCTTCCACCCCTACTCGTTATCAGCAGCAGTATGCATCTCAAGAAACCCGTGGAAGCTTGAAATCTACAACCAGCCAGCCGCTTGCAAAATATGAGTGAGGTTCAGAAGGGGAATCAGTTACTGAGTCAGACGTGCCATCATTTAGGAGGTCATCAGTCACGAGAAGTAGTCACAAGGTTAAGTTATACAAGGCTCCGTGGTTGTAGAATGCGTCACCCCATATACTGCCTGGATGACAATCAACCACACGGTTGACGAACGACTCTTGACCACAAAATATTTTTCAGACGTTGTCCGGTAGGTTGTGGGTTTGAATCCCCATCTGGGTTCACGAGATACCCACTTCTGATAACCGCTAAAAAGAATGAAGCAGCAAACCAAAGCATTCAGATGTTTTAAAGTGATTCACGTCTACACTGTAGGATGAATTTCACAGCCAGATCACCCATGACCAAGAAAAATGTATTACGTCACGCTTGTTGAACCCCGAAGTTATATCAGAGAGGACAGGAGTTAAGGTCAAAATATGGTTTCCTACCCATCATGCTTGTGCGTTAACCAAAAATCTTATTGAGACATGGGTTTAATGACCACTAGTGCGACTTACACGAAGTGTCTTCAAACACACGTGATGCACACAGAGTGCCACTGCACGCGCGGACCCGGTTATGGTGATGGTCCTGTCGGAAGAGTTGGGTAGACTCCCACTAGCAACTTGTATGGCGGCTCCGGTAGACTGAAGCAAAAACGTAAATTCACTGTAATTAGTTTTATCTGACCACTTGAGACTTGCGTCCACGCAGGAAAAATCTTAGAAATATGGCAAATATGGCATTCATTAGAAGAAAGCTTCCATACACCGTCTACAAAAATGATATTTTTAAAACCCACAATTCTACTTTCTGCTCGGGTATCTTGTTCGAGTCCACCAGCCTCTCGTATGCCCGAAGGTGTCATCGTGAGAACAGCGGTTATACTACCAGATGCTACCAACGTATGACGAAAAACTTGAGATTTTGTGGTTGTTAACCCGTCTAGTCCATTTTATGTTTAAAAGTAAAAGGTAGATGAGGCGCCTCTAGGGAATGACAGTAGTAATTGGGAAAGCTGATTTACAGGGATTAGTGATGACGGATGAAAGAATGCTGCACAGATTCCTGAAAGTACCCAAAGACGACGAAAATTTGGGAGCATGTTCGGAGACCTCTTCTCATTGAAATTTTGTATTCTTCGGTATTTGGAAGTGACGTTACAGTATAAGGCCCTCTAACTGGATTGCGGAATGCAAAACCAACTCCATTTGAAACGCATACTTGACAGATTCGAGTGTACTTGAGTAGGACGAAACCCAGGGAATCCCGTTATGCACAAGTAACCGCAAGCGGTTCAACTCCATCGATATGGCCTGCATGATAACCACGATATGGCAATTGTGATGATGGATGATGGCGCATTAAACTGAAGGAGAGTTTGAAAATATTTCCCATAGTCTATTCCTCTGATACATAAGCGCCCCCGCAAAGCAAATGCACACTTCTCATCCATCTACAAGATCCGGAATTCGTCTCCATGATTGTTGACATTTAGGTGATCAAAATCTCACTACTTCGCATTCAACATTATTGTGTCTTCGTTCGATTCCCACTGTCGTATTCTGCACAGCTAAAAGACTCTTCAAAGCTTAATAAAGCTATTCTTAACATGACGTTGTACTGATTATCATTGGTAGTACGGGTTAGAGCTGGTTGATGTGGACTTCGGACGGTCCTATAGTGATCGTGACCCCCGAACCTCGCCTTGGCCTAGGCACTACCAGCAAATGAAGTTTAACATATTTTGCATCTTGTAACTTGATTTGATGTGTACATCGGATGGTCTAATGGTTTCCTACCCAAAAGCTCTAAGTGAGGCCACCTATCAGTAACTGACAGCTACATGACCCAAATTAGTCCATAACTGGCTTGAAGTTGGTGGCTTTCAAGTTACTCAGTAAGACTGCCTGAAAGTTCGCACTGATCAGGAACAGGAGATCTTCAACACACAACTGGAGAAGCTGCTCCCCACCATCTGTTAACTTAACATCGACTCCGAATCTACCGTCCAAATATGCTTCTTCTGGGCTTATTTGTCCAACCTGGGCGTTTATATCACCCACCAGGAAGGTAACATCAGCTATTCTTTCTGACCGAAACCGAACTTCTTCAGCTTGAGAAATGCGTCTGTCTGAGTATGCGTGAATACGATATATGGAATCCTTCTAGCGTATTGAACTGCGCGTCTTAATTTGACCAGACAGCTGTACAGCGCAACGGAGATTGGTTACTAAGATTCAGTCCAATAAAACGCTTCCAACCCTGGGGCCGAGTACACCTCCCACACAATATATACCACAAGCCATTGCAACGGAATCACTAGATACCTGAAGGATGAAATGCTAGATACTTGAACTCGTCCAAGGCAACTTGAGGTGCAGAGAGAAGTGGGATTTCATATGCTTGTTTCGGGGGCACAGCAGACGGCAACAGGAAGCGCAAGCAAAATGTCAGTAAGAGATGTCTGTCATCCAGGAGGGTACAGATATCGTAATTTGCAATGGAGATCATATGTTCTTAGTTTAATAGTAAACTATTTTGGTTCATTTTATTGGGCAGAATTACCATAAGATGGCTGGCAGATGGTTTGACCACAACGGATTAGCTGAAGAATGGGAGGAATTAAGGGCTAGTGAACGGACAGGTCCATGGGCGAATTATACCGCTGGATTGTTCAGGTCGAAGGAACGGGTCCTGTTTGAGGTACTCTACCTTGGGCCTTCGTCTGACCCACAGAGCAGCTGGAAGTAGTTAGTGTGGCACACAAAAATGGATTACGAGAACACACTTAGAGATTAGTGTTGGTTTGAGCAGACAAAATTCAGACAGGTCTCATAATGACACCGGTAAAATTATCGACTTACCTGCCGAAGGAATTTAATTCGTTTTCCTCCCTTCCCAATCAGTGATCCGCAGTGAATAGTGGGGACGAGAAGACGTAGGGTGATTGGTGGATACTGCTTGGCAGCCTTATCCACGGTGTGGGAATTACTCACTGAACAACCTTGATTCTCCTGGCAGAAAGCAGAAGTGGTGAATAAATTTAGGGAACAGTTTTAATCTGTCCATAAAATTCGAGTCAGTATACTGGCCGGCTTTTCGTACAACAACCTTATCAAGCAAAAACAGTTCACTGTCAAGTGAATTCGCAATCCCCTTACATGCAGTAAGCAAGCAGTCTTCCGGTGTTGGTTCAGATAAAACAACCAGGACCGATACGGGGTAATCGCTCAAACCAATGAAGAAGGGATGGCACTCAGACATACATATAATAATATGCCTAGATGCGACGAATTGGAGGTGGTCATCAAGTGCTAGCTAGTATTGGGTTACAGCCAAGAAAACGATGAAGCACTTGAGCTTTTTGTTGTTTCCCGAAAATACATTCGTTGGTCTATTCCTGCCAGATAGCCTTTGCAGATTACCCTTGAGTTAGACAATGCATCTAGTTCACCGTTAATATCTGGCTGTGCAGCCCGAGATCTTCGCTTGAAAAAGAGATATGACACCAGCGTCACGATACACATTTCAAGAAGTAGTTACCCTGACGAACTCAGAATCTACCCTTGAAAAGTTAACGTACAAATGGAGTGGGAATTCAAAGACGAACTTCCAGAGTCACTTCTGGCCAGTCAATTGCAGTGCAGCTGGAAACTCTTCCTGTGCTTGCTTACAGTAGCAAAGATCTGAGCAATGACCGCGATGATGGAATGACAGTTGTGCTGGTTTTGTAACACCGAAACGCTTAACCGTATAATAACGTGCACATTTTGGATAACCGAATCGCACTTATGTGCGTAATGTGAATCAGCGCTGTAAGACTGACTGTCAAAACGTCAAGCTTGAACATACCGTGGCGTTAGCCATTAACTCCGTTCAGCCCAATATTCAAAGAGTTCTTTAATATAAGAGCAACTCGGGTAGTTTGATAATTCATAGTGCAAAAATACCGAGAAGGTGACCGTTCGGGCTAATCTGCAATCCCTACTGTGGAGTTCACCAGCACCCATGTTTACGAGGGTAACGTCGATCCTCCCACTGTTGGCTTGCGTCTAACTGAACGAGGTACACAAACGGAACAACTTGACAAGTTCGGAATCACTAGAAATTTAATATTGTACAATAGATGGATGACCAATAAAGCGACTTCGAGAAATGTGCTACAGTGGTGACACAAATCAGCATGCTAACTCTAAGGACCACGGAGAGGATTGCACAGCCCCTGGTTCATCTAATAGAACTACTAAGGATGTGGGTATTCTCTTTCCAGTTAGCGTCCAAATTTCACTTCCAAGTGAACAGAACTGACACTACATGAAAAGAAGACACTTTGAAATGCATAGAAATTACACCGTTGGATATTAACTACCGGACTCAAGAGTAACGTCAATGCCACAGTAAATACAGTTATCAAGGCAAAACTAATGGCGATTCTACGACAGTACAATAAACGAATTTACCAAGGAAGTATGTGATAAGACTCATAGTATTTCTTCACGGGGGGATGTAATTTACCGCACTGAATTTAATCGTTCAGGTAGAAACAACCTTAGGACTTCATTTAGTTACCCGATGTGATTCTCCTCATATGTTGCTATTCGTGGCAAGCGTCTACGTTTGCATATAAACACACCGTAGTAGCAACATATATTCACATCAAACAAATAATGGTCAGAAGCATTTTAATGAATATTTAATGTGCTGATTACCAGGATAGGCTGAATGACACGCAACACACCAAGTGGTATGTATCCGGGGTTCTATGGAAGACTGACGGATAGGCAATGAGAGTGCTCGACACAACCGGACATGGGTGTTGACCAACTGGAAGCCACACAATGTGTGCTTCAACATCTGCGATAGCATTAAGGCACTGACACAGTGATACGTTCAAAAGAAGAACGAAAGAGCAACACCACGCACTCCCAGGAATGCCCGCAGAACTCTCAAGACAAATAAGAAAAAGGGTAGGGCATGGTCATGCTTTGAAACCATCGGCAACCTTGGTGTGTTTGACAGTTACAAATCGCTATGAAGATTGTGAACTGGCGATGATGATGATCGGACAAAACTACCAGGAGGCATCACTACAACTCTCAACAATGGCACAAGAGGAAATAGTCGCCACAATAAAACAGTTAGGGAAGGGAAGAGGAGAGCTGTTAGAATTAACCATGCCCTACTGGCCCATACTCGCTGACGATCAGTCGCGAGTCTGTCTCTGTTGGGCATTTTGTCACGAAGTCCTCCCTAAGAAAGGAATGCAAGGTAACCTGACAGGCGAGGAACAAGCCGGGGAAGGTGGTCTGTAAAACGCACAATGCATCACACCAAAACAGGTACTCCTCCTGGCCAAGCCAATTTACCCTGGCCACATAAACTAGATCCGATTGTGTCCAGTTAGCTGTCGTTTACCTTTGTATTATCTATAGCCTACATTTACATGGGGAAGTTTCTCAGACAGCGATGTACAGGAGCAGTAAGGCTGCTCGTAAAACGTTAGCAACTGTGGGGCACCAACAACCATAGGCTCATCTGCCTAAATTAGGTGGCCCTTAACCTACTCAGCTTGACACCTGAGGAGTGCTTGAGTAGGGTCAGAAGAGACCGAATGGCAGATAACTTTGCATTACAAGCCTGTTGACAGTGCGTGAATCATTGTGTGATACCAAGAACACCGGTAATATTTATGAACTCCAGCAAGTACCTCACCGCTAAACTCATGTTTTATATTGCACGAGGTTGGAAGAGATGGGAAAGCGATGATATCTTATAAATGGATGGAAGCATTCGTCATCCAAAGACAATGGAATCTAGGAATCGAGAGCACCCACACACCGTCGGCTAGGTTTTTTCAAATTCTCCTTGTTCCACTATTGTCCATAGACCATATCAACTTCCGGCCACATCAACTCAGCTCACTATGCGTATTGTTTGCTGACGACCTCAGACTAAAAGGGCCCAAAGACACCATGAGACGAACGGGAGCTACAAATCGACCAGAACAGGCTAACGCAATGGTGCCGATTAAGCAACCAATGCAGTATGTGTGACGGTGATATAGAGCAGACGAGACAATCCCGATGCAGCCTACACGTGACCTTGGAGTACTTACACAGAATGCTCTCGAGACCTGCCTTCATAAGGAGCTGGTATGGGTTAGGGGACTCATGACCTCTGGAACAGGTACAGCGACCGGGAACCCGGTGGTCACGGGTATAACAAAGCAATCAAATCAGCAATGATCTCAAACCTGGGAACTCTTCAGTTTCGAATACGAGCAGTACAGCGATTTTTGTCTCCAAATTGGTAGGACAAAAGAAGTACCTAGATTTTCTGTACTTATCCTTGGTCACACAAGTCACACAAGCCAGGGGTCACGGGAACATTGTAACACAGCTGTCAGGCGGCTTATTCATATCTATCAACTTTCGAGACGGCAGATTAAGACAGACTTCCACGGCCAGACTGGCATCGTTTAAAGAATAAAAGAATTGCTCGATCAGCACTTTTCAAAGGCTACTGGATACTGGGAAAAGGTAACCAAACCATCATAAACAGAAGAACAGGAAAGAAAGCCTACTATCCTCTGTTCAAGATTCAAGGGTCTCGCACATCCATTGCGGAGGCGTTCAAAATATTTTATCCGACTGTTCCCCAGCAGAGAGAATACTTTTTACGGAGCTGAAGAAACGTGAATCTTACCACGATGACACATCAACTATGGAAATATTTTGGGATACCTGATCTTGGCACCATTGCAGACCAATCTTGCATTTATACCATTTTCAGCTCACAACTGTTCTAAACATTGTTCCATCCTGCATTGTATTTAAAACATTCTGTACTTCCCTGATGCCCAAACGTGCCACAACTGTCCTAACATCTTCCACCATATTTGTTGACCGTTTGAATTTTATGGTCAACGTCAGTTTCGCTGCACTCTAGTTGCTTTCTCCCTGAACAGTATCAACGTTTTGGTAGTACGGTATGGTGGTCCGAGAAGCGCAAACTCCTGGCGAAATGTTTTCAACGTCCCAGGCGACTATTTCATCTCATGCAAACTTAACTTGCTGATCTACGGTGGAATTTTAGAACACTCCTAGGACAAATTATGAAACAAGGTGGCAAAATCGATTAGAAGCAAGTCTTCTCTATCGCAGAGGCAGTGGAAATCCGCATTTTGAGTGCAACGGAAAAGTTTTGCATAGAAGATGAGCCACGCAGTGCCGGATACTCATCCAGCAGGCTCACGTGACCCCGCCGAACTAGCGCTAGTGTTATCGGTTTTAACCTTCGATTCTGCTCATCTGAGCCATTACGAGAAATATCGCTCTCTTCTGAGTGAAAATATTTCCAATGATCCTAATTGTGTGGTCATAGAGTAAAGATCTGTCTCACCTTTATGAGGACGATCCATCAATACCACTAATTTAGTCGACTGACATGGTTACGGTGGCAACAAAAGCGCTAGGATCAGGAGGCCGCGCCCACTTTACGCAGAATATCCGCTACTGTGACTTGGCCGTAGACCGAATGGACATAAGAAATTCTGAGTCTGCCCACCCGTGCGTTGAATGGGATCGCCTAAAAATCAGTCAAGTACTAAAATCCCTTCGGGGGAATTACACTTAAATAGATCAGAAAATGACCGCTGCTATGATAAATGAAAAATATCTCTAGTTTGACTACAGGTTCCTGTATCCATTTCCATCGAGACATCATGCTGTGACAAGCAACAAAATCAGAATGAGCAACACAAATGGGTCTAAAACAGCGTTTAACCGTACGACTTACACTTGAGGGTTATGGAACTAGTGACGGATGATTCACATCACATACAACTGTGCACCCTGTGAGTGGAACTCAGTGGGTTTCGGTTCTGAGCATCGCTCATCCTGCTGTCCACTAGCATTTTCCTATAGACTAACGGTGACTGCATCGATCGGGTCATCGATCAAAACAGCTGACTGAATGCGGCGTATAACTGGTTAGTTTGAACATGCAGCATGGA